CATTTTGGATCCAACCAAATGAAAGAACCCCCCCCGGTTTGGTTTGTGCTGGTGTGGTCTTTACTGAACCCAACTCCTCTGGCAGCTTTGTTCTTGAAGTTGACACATTTCTGAGCCAACTGCAGTCTATATATCTATGTGTGCTCTTTGTTTCATGGGCCATCACACTTCAAACATGCAATAAGGGCAGAGAAGGGAGTCATTGACGTGCACATGATTACCATCTTATCTACGCTTACAGTAGTCCATTAAGTCTACATCTATTTCAGCATAAAAGGAGCATGAAGGAGGAAGGTAACAGGATACTTACCTTCTTTAGGAGGCCGTTTCACTTCTGCACTCAGATTGCAGACCTGCCCAGCTTGTAGTTGGGGTGACAAGCAACCCTCCGTTTGTGGATTCAAAGGTAAAACCACGTTGTTGAGCATGAGCATGCTCTCTGATTCTCCATCGCCTAAATGCTGGGGACATGTGCATTTTGTGTACACGATCCCACACGTCTCCACTGTCCCTTTCTCTAGTTTCAAGCAGTTTTCCAGCCATGTACACAGCACTTGACACCCAAACTGGCTCGGGCTCGCCTTATTCAACACCAGAAACTCCACAATGGACTTCTCCTCCTCATCCAGCTTCTGCGGCGTCAATCCGTTATAATCATAAGGGAAAACTCTCCGTAGTTGGACAAAATTCTTGTCATACAGCAAAAATACATAAATATTCTTGGAATCGCACAGGTACACTATAGACTCGTTGACTTTCAGCAACTCATTGATCTTTTCGTGCGAGTAATGGTCAAACTGATAAGCAAGCAAGGAATACTCAGAGCAGCTCAAGTCTCGCTTGTATAGCTTCAGGTAGATGCTGTATTTGGTTGGGTCTGGGTTCTCCAGCGTCCATGTACAGTTTGTGTAGTTCTTAGGAAACATCTCAGTCACCGAATATGATCCATAAATGACCCCCTTGACCAGAGTGGAACACCAATAATCTTGGGCACCAGTTAATCCAAACATAACCAGAAGATAGGTGGAAAATATATAAATCAACAGGTTTCGAACAGCCTTCATCCTATGTCATTTGGCCTGTGGGGAGAAATGGGAGAGAATTACACAAAGGCATGTCAGAGCAGAGGACACAGGGAATGTGGTAGGTGATGTGACTGGTGCGCTTCACACATTCCTAATCATGTCCTACCGTGAAAATGGGTGAAAAAGATACATTAACCTCAGCAACGTGTCTTTTGCATCCCCCCCATCCTGCCTCCTCCATTACTATACTTTGTGCAAACATTGCCACCTTGTGGTCGCTTCAGCCACTACTTATTTATTTATTTAGTGTTGGTGAGGGGGTGCAGAAATGTGAGTAATTCAGACATTTGTTTATCGGGTCGTATGTTTGATAAGGCACAGTCCCTGGAGGTATTCAAATGCTGTTTACAGCAATCTGACACCAAAACGCACAATGGGCAAAGTATGATCCAAGTCGGTGCGGTCCTCGTGATGCTGCGGGGTGCAACTGCTCATTTTACGCAGTAACCTGGTCCTTGTTTCTCTCTCTCTTCTCAAATGCAACTGTTTTCCTTCGTGATTTAGCGTTTCCTCGCACGACAGTTAAATAAGAGGAGGAAAACAAAGAAAAATAAATGTTTCTGCAGCCGCCTGGTCACTATGGCTCCTCTCCTCCTGCCTGAGTTAAGGGCTTGACACATTTGACAATGCAATTTGATAAAGAGCCAGTGTGGGTTTGTGTGCGTGCGTGCATGCGTGTGCTTGAGCTTGCACGCGCCTAAGTGTTTGCGTGAGAGAGAGGGGGAGAGAGAGAGGGGGAATGCAATGCGATGTCCTGATTGCTTTAATCCTACAGGCAATGCAGCTGTGAGCGGTGTCACAGCAGAGCGTGCGTGCGTGTCTCAAAGTGAGTGTGTGCGCGTGCGTGTAGGCGTGTGTGTAGGCGTTGAAACCCCCCCCCCCAAAAAAAAAAATCCCATGCAGGCTGCAGACAGTGCAGAGAAAACGATGCCAAAAAAAATGTGCACTTACTGTCTCCAACTTCTTCCCTTTTTGTTTGAATGATGGAGAAACCCGGTCGCCACACTACATTAGGATAATGTATGTGTTGCATAAGGATTTGTGGAAGCAGCGTGGGGCGAAATCAGCTTTTAGTCGCGATAAATCCATATGACGAGTCCAACATCCTTACGCAAAAAAAAAAGAGAGAAGAGGAATCGCGGCCATGCGCGGCTGTAACCAGCCCATACAGCGAAAATTAGTATTCCGGGGACGATAAATCGGTCGTCAGGAGACGCTGATTTTTATTGCCTCGGCTTCTAAGAGCAATTTCGTCTCGAGAGGAAATCTGAATATAGAGACACGGGCTACATCTCATGCGGTGTCAGCTCGACGCGCGGCACTTTAAAGTGATTTTTGCCTCTTCAGAGAGGGAGAGAGAGATCAGCTCTTTAAAAAGAGGGGGAAATCATGTGTTAAGCACCCTGGACTGTGTGTGTGAGCGGATCAGAGCCATGGTGCTGGATAGACGGGTCAGAATATGTGACAGGAGGAGGGTAAACTTTAACGCACAGATGACACATGCATATTTTCCGGCTGCTCCATTGGGGCTCCACGCAATCACAATAATAACCATGATGAATAATAATAATGATCTTACCTTACACTGCGGAAGCTATGGCTATTTTCCCAACATACTTGACCACATCCTTTATAAATAAATTCTGCAGCCCTCCAGCGAATCGATACTCCCCATTCCCGACAGCAGAAGTCCGGCGCAACAAGATGCTTCAGCGGGTGGAAAATAAAAAATGCGTTAGACTCCGGTCTGCCCGATCATATCCCCCCCTGTCTCCTTCCTCCTCTTCTGGGTTTTTCCCATCAAAACGGAGCGCAACAAACACACGACAGCCACCGACAAGGAGAGAGGGAGCAAGGAAGAGAGAGAGGGAGAGAGAGAGATGAGAGAGAGAGAGAGCGAAATTCTTGGAGTGATGGAGAGCAGACAGCGATTCTTGCAGTATTACCATCAATTAAAGTCGACACACTCCACGTCTCTTATTTCTCCCCAAAACTCCTATGTTGTTGTTTTTTTCTCTGTCTCCGGATAGTCGCGCATATGCAGCCCCACTCCAGGGGGTGAGGAGGACAAAAAAAACGGGGGAGAACAGAGAGATAGAGAGAAAAGAAGGGATCCGTGCTGGGTGGATGTGAGAGGTTGGGGGGCCGGTGTGTTACAACCGAGAGAGAGAGCGAGAGAGAAAGAGAGAGAGAGGGAGGAATAGACGCGCTTTTCGCTCGGTGCTTGCACAGCTCCGGGAGCCAGGCTGCAATATCACGTCACACTCTCCGCCGCTAAGATAAAGCACGTACGTACGCTTTCTTACTGCCGCTGCGTCTGGCACCGCCACCACTTTCTCTCTCCCCCTCCTGCCCTCCCCGTTTTCTCTCTCTCTCTCTTTCCTCTTTCTCCCACCTCCTCCTCCTCCTCCCTCACTCAGCCTCCCCCTTAATTCGAGTCAAAAGGGTTCCCCCCCCCTCAACCGGACCCTCTCAGTTGCGCGCAGACAACGCCGCGCTTCGCCTCTGCAGGGTTATGTCCAAACACTGGAATATGTCATGGACTTTTTTTTCGGTTGTTGTTGTTCTGAGAGGGTAAGAGACATGATCTTAAAACACTTGTCTCCTCTCTGTCTCTTTCGCTCAGTGGGACCTGAAAAGTCGCTGGTTGGTTTTTGGTCATTCTTTTTCCTTCTGATGGGTGACAGCCGCTGCTTGTTTTGGTTTCTTCCCCGGCTGGCGCTGCTTTGCGCGCCGGGCGTCCTCCTGTTGTTCTCCGCCTGCGCGCTGCTGGAGGAAACAAATGCGCACGGGTGCAACTTCTGCTCCTCTTTGGAAAGTTTTCTTGCCTCTTGCGCCTTACACAGGTGCGACTCCAAACTGCTGTTTTCGTCCTCCTCCTCCTATTCCTCCTCCTTCACTATCTTCTCAGACAGGGGGGATGTTTACGTGTGTAGTTCTTTTCGACGTAAGAATAAACAGTGATCAAGCAGATACTTGACAAATAAAGGAACTCTTTCAGGAACTTTCAGCTTTCATGTTTTTTTTATTCCCTGCTTTCAAATACTTTACATTCTGAGAAGCATTTACTCGACAGTCAATTAAGTCGAATAAAAGCTCCAGACTCCAGCAGTTGGACACTGACGTGTCAATAGCCTTCAGTGCCTACAGGCTGAATTCGTGGGAATAATGGAACTATAATGGACGTGGGGAGTCACAGTCATCTGGTGATCTCGTTGCCTTCCCACTGAAGATGGAGGAGGCATTGGAGCTTTTTGTTCTCATGTAGGTCGATCTCCTCTCAGGCTATCAGGTGCAAGTAAAGCATAGGATCCATAACCATAGGCCCACTATCTTCATATTCATTTAAAAAAGGGTAATGAATTGAAAATGAATGTGTGTGACCTTCATACATGTTGGCGCTCAGTTCATTCGCATGTAGGATTATTTGCATATTTAAAAAAGGAGCCATTAGATTGGGCAGTGCAGACACCAAGCACTTCCTCACCATGTTTTTCTGACTCCTACTCTTTTTTGGAGGCTTGTGTCAGCCACTCTAATCATTTTGCTGTGCACAGTTAACATTCATTAGCCTGGCCGTCTCTTTCAGGCCTCGACTGAACGAGTTCCATCCGAGCAGATGCTGCATGAAGAGCCCATTTGTTTATTTATTTCTGGGAAGTTTCCAGTGTGAAGCGTTTCTTGTGAGCCAGCTTTTTCCAAACAGCGCTCCAGAACTGTGCTGACAGTATCAGCCACAGCAGCGTGCGAATGGGAAAGAACTTGTTTATATCCCCCAACATCCTGTGCTGTCAAGTGTTTACAACATTGTCAATCTGCTGCCAAAATTATAAAGGAGACTGGAGTCATTCGGCGTGGATGGTTGCAGCTTTGCCGGCGACTTGTGGTGTGCTTTCTAATTCCAGTCTTCCCCAGGCAGCCAGCGGAACATCAGGGGTGACCTGGAGCCAGCCCACTTTCCACGGCCATAATGAAGACTTTGGCGTTTAGGGAGCTTTTGGCTCAATAAGCTGAGAGGTGGAAGAAATTCATGCAAAGCCTAATTGAACAATGAAAACAGAACAAGTATCTCTCCACTGACTCATGGGGAGGCCAATTGCCAAGTGTCAGGAATGCTGCCATCGCTCTCCTCCTGCAAGGACGTTTCCAGGGTCCAAATGACGCCCTGCAAGTCTTTGCAACCTAGAGAAAAGATGGAGCGGAAGAGGGAATGTGATTCCATAGAGGCAGGGTTGAATAAGAAATTATGACACAACGAGGAAGAGAGTGGGATGAATGGTGTGCGTCATCGTGCAAAATGACAATCTGATGTGTCCCATAAAAGATTTAGTCCTTGTAATCGAAAGACAAAAAAATGAATGAATAAACAACATAAATAATATTGTGTGGTCTGTGTTGGGGTTTGAAACTGTAGATGTCAAACGTGTACAACGCACATATTAGCTGGGACAGGAATATATATTTATATAAGTAAACATTCATAAAGCTTTTTGGATTTTCTGAAATACCCCGATATGGCATCTGGTTAGAGCTTACTAGTGGCACACACACACAGCAGATCAATTTATCTCCTGCCACAATCGCTAAAACATTTGTGATCTTTCTCATCTCATAGCTGTAGCAGACTGTCACATTATTCTGTCAACTCAAGAATCTGTTTGAGAACACGGATTTTGAATTATTCATGACCTCGCATAAAGAATAGATCTATTATCACCTGCTCCTGTTTGTGTGTGTGTCTGCATGACTGAGCCTGCATTCCTGCATGCGTGTGTGCGTATGGCTTTCAGAATAGTACGTCTCTTTGATCTAATGGCTGTTTTATGGCACTCATGCCCATTAGAAAATCTCATGCGATAAACATCAGTTTATTGATCATGTGATGAACATCGGTTTATTGATGTAAAACCAGCATTATGAATCATTGTAGTGCGTCTGCTTTTAGAATATATGAGCCTTAACTCTCGGGGAGAAATGATGGCTTTTCATCACGTACACCAGCGCACACAGTACAATGCAGACCCTCCCAACACACACACACACACACACACACTGCAAAGTCTCCAGATACCAGAGAAATGAATTCAGACCTTAAGCTCAACTCACCACCAGGTACAGTCCAAACATTACATTTGTCTGAGTACAGTGAGAATGAAAATGCTGAGTTCTTTTGTTTATTTATTCAATTTTTCTGTTGTGAAGTTTTTTACACCCTCTCTTACAGAAGTTATATGTATATAATATATATATATATACATGTAAGCAGAAGTGGTTCATCTGCCTTTACCCCCTGCCGTATATGGTTAGGTTTGGTGATTCTTGGTGTGTACTTAAAAGATGTTGCAGTTCTGTTTGAAGCCGCACTAGCAGCACAGCTTTAGGGTTGGCAGCGTTAGTCTGTCGGTCGGTAAATATAGGATCGATAACAGTGATATGTGGATTCAAGTTAAGTATTCATGGTTTCCAGAAGATGAATCCTCATCACTTAATCCATCCCCTGAATTTTCCTCTACTTCTACTGATCAAGGCTTTCACTTGTCAAGCCATTGCACAAAAGCTACTGGAAGGATTGGCACAACCATCTGTATATATGTCCCTGCACCACTTGTGCGTTCATCTCAGAAAGTACACAAACCCTCCTACAGCAAAGGATTCTCTGCCCAGAATCATTCCCATAACGTTCTACAAACCCACACCAGTTTAACAAGGTTACACCTCTGCACAAAGTCATTCATGTTCCCTATATGATGAACTGACTTTTCCTAGGGCAACGTATGACAAAATGTGATTTCGTCCTATTGCTTTATGACCAAATTCCGGCTAATCTAACAACATCCCCACTAGCGTCAAGTATTAATTAGGAAATGTAAGCATGCTAATGGACAGAATTAAGATAGAGAACATGGTTACTGGCTGATTCTTAAATATTTCTTTTAAACCTTTGTAAAGGGGCTATTTGTCTTGTGGTTTCATGTAAAACAAAAACAATAATCTCCCAGGAAGAATTCCCACATCTCAAACTATTTGGAGCAACACTACTAAATAAAGAAATGATAACCTACCCTGGGACATGAGAAGAAACGCATAATCACTTGTGAAAATGTCTAGACATACTGTGAGACTGGAGGCATCCCCTCACACCCCCGTTGAGTTTGGCTCCTGCAACGTGTTCAATTCAGGATTCATGCTCACAGTAATGCTCGTCATGCGTCACGCCTGCTGGATGTGACATCAGTGTATACAGGCCAGTGTCTTATGGTTCGATGCAATCATTACACTAATGATGTAGCGCTCTATTAACAAATTAAAGTGTGGGCACTTTCCTTGCATCCCTTCAAGGGCTGTTTTCCCATTTTTCTTCATATTTAATTAAAAACTGTTGCAGAAATTGCAGAGTGCTATAGCGGAGATGAGGTTAAGTGCTGAGGGCAGTTCTTGCACTTCCTCTTGTATGGCAATCATAAACACTTCAAGTGAGTGCAAAGGGAAATGTATGTTAACTCTATGAGATAATCAATGTCTGTCAGAAATATGCATAACTGTGGTCAATGTATCATGTTGACTTTACATGTGTGGATGAGCCTTTCGACTCCTCAGCGCACATGCTCCCTGCTCGTCAATACCAGTACATCATTAAGCACAGTGATTTTTACTTGAGGACCAATTTAAATTAGAAAATAGTTTAAGATGCAGTTGAAAAAAATGATGAAGAAAGACAATAAGAGTATTGTTAGTTTACAAACTTCAGGAAAAGTGTAGAACACACTACACATTTGCACTTTTTGTCATATTGCGAGACAAATTCTCTCTCTGAGCCCATCTAGAAAAGAAAATGTCATTAAAGGAGTCCTTTGTTCTGAATTTTGTCAGAGGGGGGATAAACTTGTACAACAGCTTGAATTACTGACTTTTGATTTAGCAATAAATCAATATTTACGAGGTCCTTTTTTACCAAAACGTCGATATGCATAAAACATTTTACATCCTGGAAACAGTAAAATATAAATGTTCATTGTTTGATAAGCGTTTTCACAGGCAGTTCTACCTCGTTAGTTGAGATACGCTTTTCCAACTTCATTCCCACTTTGAATTAAAACTTAAAATAACCCTGCTTGATTAATGAGGAAAAATGTACGGTGCACTGACATGTAGCGCACTTTGATTCCCTCTGCAGAAAGACAATCAGAGTCTTGAAACATCTTTGCTCAGAGACATCAGGGCCAAGGTTTGTCTCATGTGATGTTTCCACAACTACGTGTACGCTAGCTGTTCTTCTGACCCTGCGGCATCTTCGCAGTAACCAGGGAAATTTAAAGTCAGCTAGTCAACAGAGCAAAAATGCTTTATATGGGTGACGTGATCTCATCTTTTAACAGCTGTGCTTATGCTTTAACCCTTGCTACTGCTGCTGCTTGTTGTCACACAGTAGAGCTCAAAGCTGGGTGGAAATACGGGGGGTCCAAGACACCTTGATTGTCACTTGAGACCCCCTGAAAGCCTCAACAGCTAAAAAAAATATTAGATTTTCATCAAAACATCACACATGTCTAGTTTTAGATGGGAAGGTTTTCCGCTACATTTGTTTTGCAGAGGCGGCACATTGCTGCTTCAGGATTTGGGCAGACGATGAACATGGCTAAAATACTTGTGTGTGGTATGAAGACCAAAGATGATTCCAAGAGATGGAGCAATAAAATAAGCACACAGAGCTATTCTGAATCAGGTTTAACCCAGCTAGTCTATTTGGACAGTTGGGTTTTAAGTACTAGATCTAACTGTGTTGTTTATGATTAGTAGTTGACAACACAAACATTTTGTTTATTGACAAGAGTCTGCCAAAAACAAGAGCATGTAGCGCAATGACGATGAGGCTCATAATGAGTCCAAGGGCTCCAACAGCGTGGATGCTGTCTTTAATTAATCATCAGTCAAATAACTTATAAGTAGCAGCAGAGCAGTCACCCACACACAGTGTTGTGTTTGAACTAGCAAAGCCTTCAAAGCTCAAATATAGTCCTCACCACCATGGGGCAACGTATTGTGTCTTGCTTCAGCAGTTTGACATATTGGTGGAAGAAGCAGGATGTGCGGAATAATCACAAATCCTGTTTCTTCAATAAAAAAAAAAAAATACATTCAATCTACCAGGACAGAGTCATGACAGAACTATTTTCACAGGCTCAAGCCAAGACATGCTCCAAACATATGACGCTGCAAATTGTAACTTGGCAGGTGTTATGTGATGCAAGGACTGGACAGTGGAGGGCTGTCATGATGCCATTGGATTTAGTTTTATGGACACACACTGGCTGTTGGGTAGTGGGATTTATATCATTTTGATCATATTTTTCATTTGGTATATTTTGTCTTTTGGATGCTCTCCTGAGGGATCCCAACATCCATTAAACTTTAAAATATGAATGAACATTATTTTAAAATTGGACATTTTCAGGTGTTATGTGATGGGAGGACTGGACTAGGGAGGGCGTCAAGAGTCTGTCATGGTCTCATTGGCTTCATTTTTATGTATATTTACATGTATTTTGCATTTATTGAAGAAATGTGTACATCACGTTGTTGTTCTGTCATTTGGCTGCTCCACTGGGGGATCATTTTCAGCGGATCATCATCTGCGTATTTGATGATGCCCTTCCTTTTTGAATATATCTTTTGGGGCATTTGGCCTTTACTGACAGGACACTTTAAGTGAAATGGGGAGGATACAGGGGAAGACACACAGCAAAGGGCTGGGTCGGAAGAGAACCCGCGGCTGCTGCAAGAGGACTAAAGCCTCCCTATGAGGTGAGCTTGTGAGTGCCCCACTGGATGCACTTCCTGACGCAGCCAGGGTTTCGGGAAGTGAACCACCCAGTCTATTCTGTCAACTGAGTCACACCACCCACCCCTGCCACCCTAAAAAAACAAAATAAATATCTAACTCATAATATGCACAGTTATGAATGAAGTCCCATTATAGCACTTACTCGTTCACAAACAACACAAACATCAACAGTATTGAATAATCCCCGTGATGACGAGTGTGTTTTCAGCACAGCATATTTCATCACTTTTCTTCCCAGGTCTTTTCGATGTTAAATAGGCTGCACCCGCCTGCTGCAGACTCAGAGGAATTTGCTTTTCACATTCCTCTTTTTAGTGAGAGAGTGCTGACATCCAACAAACCGGACCAAATCTCCCAGCCACACAGTTCCTTGTTTACCATATGGCTGGGTATAAATATTAATAAATTCACTTTCATATTTAATACATGTGAATGAAACCGGGCATCATTCGGATGATTCTGGGGAGAATGAATATATTGGAATAGGAATCACATGCGAAGAAACCCTGTTTTCG